ACTTGTTCATGCTATTATGTAGCGATGATATTATTACAGAAGCCCTCTGACTGTGATAAAACTGACCAGGATTCTGATAATAGCTGGATTGTGGTGATATTTAGCACTGTGCTCCATGGAGGGAGGAGTAATGCTGTGGGAGGGAGGGGTGTTGGCGTTGTCTTCTGACTGTGTATGGCCACCTTTTATTGACTGCACTCACCATACCAGCTTAGTGGTTCACTATGGTGAACACAAATGTAGATAGTTATATATAACGTGTGTATAGAGTGTAATAATAGCAATAGGAGTAGGTTGGGAGCCGCCATTTTGGCGAGGGAGGACTATGTTGTTTACTGGTGTCCACTATGGTCTTTGGGCACCATACCAGCTTATTTGTACAGATATTTTGAATAAAACAGGTAGATACTTATATATAATGTGTTTATATAGCGTAATAACACCACAAACAATATTGTTGGAGGAGAAATATTAGTGTGCCTGGCCTTGAGGACGGCCGCCACCAGCTGACTGTGTGAGTAGCTACGTCTTTGTGCCTTTACTCACCATACAAGCTTAGATGTACAGTTACGGTGAACAAAACATGTAAATACTTATATATAACATACGTGTTTAGTGAATAAATGCAAAAACAGTATTGTGGGAGGAGATTGAGGGCGAGTGAGGTGGTGTTGCGGGAGGGAGTGGCAGCGAGTGGCTGACTGGTACGTTGCAGTTACTCCTCGTTGCATTTTGACTCACAATACCAACTTAGTGGTTCGTTATGGTGAGCAAAACATGCAGATACTTATATATAACCTGTGTATATAGTGTAACAACAGCAAAACTATTTGTTTATTGTTTTATGAACATAATAATTGAATAACTAATATGCACACCATAATTTTGAATACAGTGATGGTTCACACATTTGATTATAAAAATATATGACAATTCACTATGTTGAATAATATTACTGCAAAAAAAAAAATAAGAAAAAATCAGAGACATTGAAATAATTAGGTAATAATATTTTTGTGGCAACTGCCGCCTGACAGTTCAGGCGGAGTAGACCTCGTCTGGCGAAGGCTCTGTCAACACCCCTTTTTTGACAGACTTCCCTACCCTATTGCGGCTAAAATATTCCACCTACGATTTTTTTTAAATTTTTTCCGTGGTCAGGGAACAAAAATAAACACTTTTATAAGACGAAGGAATTTTTTAGATTTTTTTTGTTGTTGTTGCGCCTGTGGGTGTTAAAGCCATTTGGACCCCTAGCGGTTTGAGGGTTAACAGCCTTTAGACTGGCTGTAATTGATACCCCACATTTTATTTACTTTGTATGAGAGTTTTAAGGATTTTTCTGGGGGTTCCTCTTTTGGAGATGTCTGTGCACAGGAGGTCAGAAAGTTTGCCGATGTATTTCAGGGATAATGGCACCCCATCTTGAGAATACTGTGGTATTTTGGAATGCCTGTTCCCTTTTCAAGAAGATTCAATTCCTATGCAATTTTCTCACCAGCTCACCATCATTGATTGTGAACTGCAAGACCTTGTTTACCGACCATTTTTTCTTCACGGTGCCGGAGTATTCGGTCTTCAGATAGGATCGGCCAGTGCGGGGAGGAAGGGAGAGGGGGGCTTGCCCTCTTGGTCAGGGACTCAATCCCGAGCTCTTTGCTCCGGATTCACTCATTTTGGGGCAGGCATCTGGAGTTCATGGCAGTGAAGGTGGTCTTCTCCCATGGGAGGGCACCTTCAGAGTTCTGTATAACCCTTGTCTACCGGTAACAGCAAGGGAGCTATAACACTATTTTGGCCAGTTCACGGACACCTGCCTCGTCAATGGGTGACTTCAATGCCCGGCACTTATCATGGTAACCTATGCTACCGAGTTGCCTCCACAACACGTTGGCAAAACCCTGTTTCAGTGTCTCCTCGATTCCCCAGACCTCTCCTTACTGACACCACCAGGTATGGGAAGCCCGGATAGACCCCCTCAATGGGCAGACTTTCACACGCTATTATAAATACTTTTGTATCTATTCTTTAGACAATTCATTTGCAAATATTTTCACACCAAATTTGTTATAACCCAATATATAACTTAGGAAACTTAAAATAATGTGTAAACATTTTTCACATAACCGAGCACCTCATGAGTCACTTTAGGAGCCCAGAAAGTTTATGGTCTGGAATGCAAGGAGAGGCTTCACCACACCAATATTACAGTGTTTTACCATTCATATCTTAATATTTCCCATGCTCTTGGACTGATTTACATGAGCCAACTTTGAATTCCAACCTGTCATGTGAAACAATTACCAAGAGAACCTGTTTGTAAAGAGATTTAACCCCATTCAGCATATTTTCCATGCTGCAGCCTCAAAACATCATTTTTATAGGAAAGAGCCCATATTTTAGTGAGCAAAAACTGCTGCAACTGGCAATAAAAACAAACAACAACTTTGGTTTGAAATATAATCAATACACTTCCCAAGGTCCCTACTGTTTTTTCTAATGTTACATTCATCTATGAAAATCATTAAAAAGGTGGTTACAGCTCTATTAACACTATCGTGCGCCACAGAAATGACGTCATGCATAGTTCGGTGCGGGCGAGCGTGCGGCGACACAGAAAAGTGTAAACTCATTTCAGTTTTCTCACCTTAATTCTCGTGCTACGTTGTTCGTTTTGGTATCATTGTGTTCGCAATAGAATTCCCTACAGGGGTATATGCATACAAGGTTCAAAAGCCCACCGTGACTCCCCACAACAAAGCCTAAAGTTGACAAAGTTACCCGTGAGCGCACAAAATCAGTAAAATGTGCATACGCGTTTCAGTTTTCTCACCTTAATTCTCGTGCTATGTAGTTCATTTTGGTATCATTGTGTTCGCAATAGAATTCTGTACAGAGGTATATGCATATAAGGTCTAAAAGCCCACCGTGACTCCCCACAGCAAAGCCTAAAGTTGGCCAAGTTACCCGTGAACAAGCACCAATTGGCACACCTACAGACTAATGTATATACTCGTTCAGCTTGATAATAAATTTTCATGTGTGTTTCATTTTGGTATCAAATTGTTAGAAAAATAAAGGCACGTATTTTAAAATTAGTCCCATAATAATAGAACAATAAATGGAATTTTAACAAAATATTTTAATTTTTGGACGCTCATCACCACAAAATTATTTATATCTTTCCAGTGTTCTGACATCAATTTTCGTGTTACGTCTTTCATTTTGGTATCAAACTGCGCGCAACCTAAAGGCCCTCATTTTGAAACCACCCAGAAGTTGAACGGATAAAAATTGAATTTTGTACAAATACAGTATTTTAACACTTTGAGGTTCCACAGACTGACTATTAAGTCACTCATTTTTCTACTGAATGTGTTCTAACGGCGCAGTACCGAGTCAGTCATTAAAATATTTTTTAAAAATTTAAATTTTATCACATCAATCTGGTAGTGGTTTTAAAATAAGCGCCTTTAGATTGCACACAATTTGATACCAAAATCAAAGATATAACATGAAACTTGATGTCCAAACACTTGAAATATTATAAATAGGCCTATGGTCCGAATATTAAAATATTTGTTAAAATTCTATTTATTGTCCTATTATCTTGGGACTAGTTTTAAAATGCGCGCCTTTTTATTGCGAACAATTTGATACCAAAATGAAAGATGTAACACAAATATTTATGTCAGAACACTGGAAAGATATAAATAAATTTGTGATGATGAGCGTCCAGAATTAAAATATTTGTTAAAAATCCAGTTATTGCTCTATTATTCTGGGACTAGTTTTAAAATAATCGCCTTTTTATTGCGAACAATTTGATACCAAAACGAGCGACGTAGCACGAAATTTGATGTTATCAAATTGAACGAGTTGAACATTAGGTTGCAATGTACAAAATGGTGCTCGTTCACGGGTAACTTTAGGCTTTTCTGCGGGGAGGCACTCCAGCCTTTTGTACATTTTATTCATACACATCTGTAGGGAATTTAATTGCGAACACAATGATACCAAAACGAGCGACGTAGCACGAGAATTAAGGTAAAGAAATGGAACGAGAATGCACGTTACTGATTTTGTGCGTTTTTGCCGACTTTATGCTTTGCTGTTGGGAGTCACGCTAGGCTTTTGGACATTATATTTATACACACCTGTAGAGAATTTATTTGCGAACACAATGATACCAAAACGAGCGACGAAGCACGAGAATTAAGGTGAGAAAGCTGGAACGAGTATACACATTTGGGTGTCACCGCGCGCTTACCCGCACGGAGGGGCCACGATCCCCCTGTCAACTGCGAGTTTCCACGGAGCGCGAAAGTGTTAATACATGACGCGAGCCATAGTCACTCGCTCAGAATCGGGAGAAAGTGAGTGGCGACAGGTGGCAGCAACGGAGTGCAAAAGTGCTAAAAGTGCTACCATTCATATCCTCATATTTCCCATGTTCCCATGTTCTATGGGCTGATTTCATCGAGGGAATTTTTTATTTTAACCTATGATATGATTGACAACTTTCCCACCAGTCTGTGAACTCCAGCTCAACATCCCAAGCAAATTTGCACATCTCCTGTTTTTCCAAACTCGTGTGTCAAATTGGGCGAGTAAAAGTGGCCTGGAAAGCACACAATACAACCAGAGATTCGCCAAAAAGGTTTGTTCAATAGAGGTTCCACTGTACAGTATAAATGGATGAAATGATATGACATTGGGGATATAAATAAAGTTATAAAATTATTGACAGAAATCATACTACAAAATAATGGATAACCTTAGAGTCAGTTCAGACATGGGTAAATACTTTGGAAATTGGGTATTTGATTAATGGAAGAAATTACCAAATAACATAAGGATTGCTGGATTATTTAAGTGTAGATTACATATATGAATGACTTTGGGTGGATATAAATAAGAGCCGTCTTGTATGGGCCAACAGGCCTCCTGTAGTTTCATGTCTTCGTGACTAGATAAAAAATGTACGACTAAATACTAACCCCTGAGTTTAAGGCCAAGTTTTCGGAGTGACTGTTCCACTTGTAGAGACTCATTCTTCCTCATGAAGCCATTGTCAATGTGAACTGCTATAACCTGCTCCTCCGACAGAGCTTTGTGTAGGAGAGCTGCACACACTGTGGAGTCTACGCCTCCACTCACCAACATCTGCAAGGTTATGGCTAATGAAAACTACTAAATCCACCATCATCATTACGGTTAAACAGTAATACAATAATTACAAAAACAAATTATTTATAACATCCATTTCAGACAGTCAATTAGTTGGCATCAGTCACACATGAGAAATAAGAGAAAATATATATTCTTTCATAATTTGCAAGTGTGATTAAGGCTATGTAGAAGAAACCCCAGGCAAGCCAAGGGGAGCCACCAAGAGCCACCCAAGGAAGCCACACCCTAGAACAAGGAACCAGAAACACTGCAGTAACAGGTAAAGTGACACACAGGAAAATATTGTACAATAGATATGCAAGAACAGTGAACTGCTGGATCCAGATAAAGATGAAGGATTCTCTGGGGTGAAAATACCAAAACCCAAATATCAAAGGACCCCATGAAACCTTACCATACCACAGCGAGCCAAGAAGAAGACGTCTGCAGACAAAGAAATTCTCCTCTAGGACCAAGAGAAACATAAAACACAGCCTGAAGAAAAGAGCCAGGACTGCAGACGACATCCAGAAATTAGAAGAAAAATAAGCACATGAACCAGAGACTAAGGCTCAGGAGGAAAAGTAGCAGGCCGAAGGGAAGTGATAAAAAACTGTCTAGGAACCACAAACTGCCACAGAAAAGAAAGCTGCAAAGCAACAACAGAAAGCCCACCATCCAATCCACATTCCAATGGTGAGAAACCAAACTCAAAAGTTTGAAAAGCAAATATCTGCACAAGAGCCTTTTCAAAATGTGCAACCCTGGATGTGATGTCAAAAGGGCTGAAAAAAAAAGGCTTAGATGGCAACTAAGGAGCTAGAGAGATCACTTACAATACTGTACTTCCGAGAAGTATGTGCCGCCCTGCCCGAGGTGCTGCACAAACAACAAGACATACTGTATCATGTGTATCTTCTGGGAATCAAATGACCCACGACCCAGTCTCTGACCAAGCCTCCCGGGTTGTTTGTCTGGTCAACCAGGCTGTTGGACGCAGCTGTTGACGTGGGTGCTCGCAGCCTGATGTATGAAAAAATTACAGCCTGGTTGATCAGGTATTCTTTGGAAATGTTTGAAGAGTTCTCACTCTAACACTGTTAGAGGCTAGCTAGTTAGGCCCCTTAGGTGCAGTGGGATGGTGTTGAAAGGTCTAAGGCCTTTGATGTTGATAGAGTTCTCCCTCAGTGTACCTATTGCACCTCTGCTTTTCAACAGGGCTATTTTGCACACCCTGCCATGCCTACTGGTTTCATGTGATGTAATCTCCTTGTTCATATTTGGAACCATTCCTTCTAAAAGTTTCTGTGTCTTATGTTATTATGTATTTCTATCACCTGCGCTCTTGCAAATACATATTTAGAACTTTTAATTGGTCCCAATAATTTAGATGACTTACAGAGTGGATTCCAATAGTAAAGGATCTTTGCACACTCTAGGTCAGAAATTTCTCCGGATCTGAATGGGGCTGCTAGAGTCCAACAATATTCCACCCTAGAGAACACTAGTGTCTTGAAAAGTATCACTGGTATGACATCCCTTGTTTGGAAAGCCCGTTATCCAACCTGTCCTTTTTCTTGCAGTCGTGAAAGCTACTTCATTGTCATCTTTAAACCCTTAAAGGGCACAATACATTTAGTATATATGATTTTGGTACAAGGGCATTGAACAGCGGACATTGTATACGCATGACTAATTACCACGCAAGATTTTAAAAGTCCTGCAGCTACACAGGGTTTACATCAGCTTCCTCAGGGCTATTGTTCACCATTAAAAAAAAATTATGGGTAACATCCCCAGGTAAGAGCCTCAGTACTGAGTGAGTAACCAAGGCTGGTCCATGCAGCATGAGCTAACAGCATTGCTGTTAAGCTTGTGTCCACAGCATCGCCTAAAAATGTCAAAATATACATGTACTGTACCTGCTATTATTTAGCGATGATAGTAGAGTACAGCCTTGATACCCCGATTCAACGAATCTCCGGCTAGGTCGCACCCTTTTCAGGCCAGATTTAGTCACCCGTTTCGATAAACAACGGTTCACCGAAGCAGGAGATGTGCGGATTTACTTCAATGTTGGGACAGAGTTCACAGACTGGTTGGAAACCTTTCCCATTCTATCACAGGTTACAATAAAAAATTCCTTCATATGACAAGTTGGATCACACACAAGTGGACAAGTGGACCACACAAGAGATCCACAAGTGGTCCACAAGCTTACGATGTTGGGATAGTTCACAGACTGGTGGAAAAACTTTCACATTCTATCACAGATTACAATTAATAATCCCTTCATGAGACAAGTTAGATCACACACAGGTGGACCACACAACAAGTGAACTATATTCACCAAACACCAGCCAGAATGGACCACACACAAGTAAACAACTGTGGTTTCCATGATTTTTGTTCACTGATTTGTGGCACATGTATCTTTGTAGATTAATTTAAAGGTTGAAGCATGAATAGCTAGCTAATGTGCTGAAATCTTCTTATATACATTTTCTGTGATGAAAAAAAGATGAGTGAGGGTGGACAGATAAGGGAATACTGTACTGTAAACCTCACTTTACAGAGAGGTTTTCCCTCACTTTCGTCTGTGTCGTCATAGTTCAGTGATCCATGACAAAGTTTCAGATTAATAGATGATTTCTAAAACTGGTGTTTTAATAGCTCATTATTATCCTAATTAAATTTTGTTTTATCCTAAATAAAACAAAAAATATACTGTAATATGATAAGACATCTGCTATTTGAGAAATTATTTACGTTATTGGCACAAGAACTACAGCGCGAGTGGACGTGTCTAATATGTGTGCACACAACATCGTGTGTGTTTTGTTCGGTTTTGTCGCCACAGTTCAGTGACTTATGGCTTCAAAATAATAAAATTAATAAATCAGTACTAAAATAAGTATTTTTTTCATAGCTCTTATCATAATAATGTTGCTAACTAAATATATAACCCAAAAAAACAGCATTGAATGCAATGAAACGCCATTTTCTGGGTGAGACCCGGAGGCTCCCAGGAGCTATACTGGGCTGATGTGTATATATTAAACCGTGGCAACAGTCAATCGAAGGAGTTCTAAGCCTACCGGGGACCAGAGCCAGAACCTGGCACCCCTCAAGAGAGGTACGAGGAGCAATGGCCTAAAGACACCCACTGTGTAATTGGAAGCAGTCTTTGTCTGCCATCTACCAGGTCAGGCACCCAGAAAGGTAGGAATTCTAAAACACACTACTGCTGGTCAAAAATGTCAAACTGAAAACCGAACTAGTAAACAGAACTCCCCAATCTAAAACAAGGAAATAAACACGACATCACCACAATCGCCACGAATCCGTTTGTGCAACCCCCTCCCCCCTCGTAGGCCTCGTAGCCTGGTGGATAGCGCGCAGGACTCGTAATTCTGTGGCACGGGTTCGATTCCCGCACGAGGCAGAAACAAATGGACAAAATTTCTTTCACCCTGAATGCCCCTGTTACCTAGCAGTAAATAGGTACCTGGGAGTTAGTCAGCTGTCACGGGCTGCTTCCTGGGGTGGAGGCCTGGTCGAGGACCGGGCTGCGGGGACACTAAAAAAAGCCCCGAAATCATCTCAAGATAACCTCAAGATAACCCCCCTCCCCGGGAGGGGAATGGGGGTGGTCCCAGACCTTCACACCAGCAACTCTCCTCAGTTCAAGAGACTTTTGTATTGGTGACGGTCAATCGCTCTGGCTCCACTCTTTGCGCAGTGCTGCAGTTCGGTGGTGTTGATGCTCTGAGTTGGTGGTGTGTGAGCCAGAAGTAACAAGAGTACTGGGGCTGCATGCACCTAGAGCTACCTTCCCTAGGTGCCCTGTAAGTACTGCCCCTGCGGTCTAGTGTTATCTTCCCCGAGCTGTTCGGGAACTACCTCCGTGCAGATCTGTTGCTGCTCGGTGATTGCCCGCCCTTGGGGTTCAGCTGGGATGGTTTTCACTCCTGTTTGGCATTGGGTAGGAGGTAGATTCATCACTGGCTGGGGCGTGGGGTACTGTGCAACTGTTTGAGATACGCATGGCAACCGGTTCTGTTCTCCTGGAGACTCCAAAAAAATCTCCATAAAATTACATCAAATGGGATCACAACCCCCCCCCACACACACTCACACACACACAATGTAATGAAGATAGGGGTAGGGAGCAGGAGACCAGATACAAGGTATCACTTGGGAGATGAAATACTTCAAGAGTCCGAGAGAGAGAAAGACCTGGGGGTTGATATCACGCCAGACCTGTCCCCTGATGCTCATATCAAGAGGATAACAGCAGCAGCATATGCCAGGTTGGCTAACATAAGAACGGCCTTTAGAAACTTGTGTAAGGAATCTTTCAGAACATTATGTACCACATATGTCAGACCAATCCTGGAGTATGCGGCACCAGCATGGAGTCCATATCTAGTCAAGCATAAGACTAAAATGGAAAAGGTTCAAAGGTTTGCCACCAGACTAGTACCAGAGCTGAGAGGTATGAGCTACGAGGAGAGACTACGGGAATTAAACCTCACTTCGTTGGAAGACAGAAGAGTTAGGGGGGACATGGTCACCACATTCAAGATCCTCAAGGGAATTGACAGGGTTGATAAAGACAGGCTGTTTAACACAAGGGGCACACGCACTAGGGGACACAGGTGGAAACTGAGTGCCCAAATGAGCCACAGAGATATTAGAAAGAACTTTTTTAGTGTCAGAGTGGTTGACAAATGGAATGCATTGGGAAGTGATGTGGTGGAGGCTGACTCCATACACAGTTTCAAGTGTAGATATGATAGAGCCCAATAGGCTCAGGAACCTGTACACCTGTTGATTGACAGTTGAGAGGCTTGACCAAAGAGCCAGAGCTCAACCCCCGCAAACACAACTAGGTGAGTACACACACACACACACACACATACAGGGAGGTACATGGGAGCTGGAGGAGGCAGGAGTCACACTGCAGCAAGCTCCTGGAAATATCGAATTAC